ATTTGGTGGTGTGCTAATTTCAATTAACTTGATTCTCACAGCAAAATCAACTCAATCAATTGCTCCAACAACAACAAAAAAAAGCGTAAATAATATTTAACCGACGTCAACGGCGCCGGTGGTGTAGTGGTAAGCGTGATTACCTCTCACCCCAGCAGGCCTGGGTTCAATCCCAGTCGGCGCCGCCGGGATGTTCTGAGGCATAACATCTCTGATCACGCCTTCCTTCGGATGGGAAGTAAAGCCGTTGGTCCCCGGTTCATGAGTTGATGGGTCGAAAGGTAGGGTCCAGGTGTGGGAGCTGCCTTCCTGGCACGTCGGCACCGACGTCAAGAGAAAGCTGTGTAGTGATTATTGGATAACCAGGAAAAGGTTGAGTAAGCGCCGTTGAGGGTTGAGTAAGCACACAACTAAACAGCAGGTTTAACAGCTGTATATAAACGTAAAATAGATAAGCAATAAGAGTTTGTCCCAAGCGTCACAACAGCCATAAGTAGCTGACTTAGTTCGTCAGATTTGCTTGCATACACTGATAAATTGAAATATTCCCATTTTGCTTGAAATTTAATCAATTTGACATTAAACTCGGTTTAATCATATCGAATGATTAAAATTTAATCCTGTCTTTCTAAAAAAATAAGCATCTGATATTATTCCCAGCTTAATCATGGTTGATTAGATTGTAGATTATCTTTTTTTGAATAAATTTTAATCATTTTTGATTCTATTTTAATAATTTTTGATTGAATTTAAATCTTTTTTGATTATATATCAGTATTGAAAAAGAATAAAATTTAATACTGGAAAGATTATTTCGATTTTAAACATGCATGACTACTGCCGAAGTAATCATGGCTCGGACTCAATTTGATTTAATTTATCTTTGAGTGTAGAGGTTCAGTAAAGGTTGCCTCATATCGTATAACATTTGAATACAACTTGAGGCTGTATGAATGAAATGAATAAAGCGTTAGGTCTGAAGGGCCTTTTTCTTTTATTTTGTGGTTTAATCTGATAAGAAAGTATCCGGTGAGTGGAACTCCGCTGATGCTTCGTGCTCGGAAAGCGGCCATTGTGATTATTCTCACATGGGGAGGCAGAGACTGCCCCAAAAACCACATCCGTTATCATGAAAACTACCGACCGCCATCGTAGATTCACCGTAACCAAAGCCACCGCGTGGTCAACGATAGTGTTAGCGGGTTGAATGTAGTCCCCGACTATCATCAGTGTCATCCTCGGCTACCCTCCTTCGGCCTTGCAGATAAATTATCCGGCTGCTGCCGTCCGCCACCACCTCCTTCACCAACACACAACCGCTACAACTGTCGTCCATCACCGTCAACCGCCGTTATCGACACCAGCGTGGATTCCGGTCAGGAAATAAAGTTTGGAAGCATCCTAAATTGTGACGTCATGAATATACAAATGTTAAATGAAATGTTAAAATAGCTTTAATGGTAGTCTGTTATTTCGAAGAGCAGCCATGGTTAACATATTTTCACTATTTTCGCAATTCCATCAGAAACTGGGTTCACAAGGGAACCATCAGGTCTCGCCTTTCAAGTGATACGAGTTAAAATTTCTTCTTCGAGAGTGTTGAGCATTCATTCAGTGCTAGTTCTGTCGGAACCTTCTCTTTGACAGGCTATCGACATCTGTGGTTGATTATTATTATCTGTGTTGCTCCATCACACAAGCAAGAGTGAATGACCCTGAGTTAGCAGATAACAAATACTTGAATTTTTTTTTTCAAAAATCATAACCTTTTCATCTCTTATTTCTCTTCCCTAAAATAGGTGAAGCAAGAGTAAATGACCCTGAGTTAGCAGATAACAAAAACTTGAGTTTTTTTTTCAAAAATCATAAACTTTTCGTCTCTTATTTCTCTTCCTTAAAATAGGGGAAGCAAGAGTAAATGACCCTGAGTTAGCAGATAACAAAAACTAAATTTTTTTTTAAATAATAACCTTTTCGTCTCTTATTTCTCTTCCCCAAAATATAGGAAATGACGGCTTCGGCATGACAGACTATTTTCGGAAACCTAAATTGAAACGCTAAAATCACTGCATTTTCTTACGAAAACACTTTGCTGAATGCATTCAAACGATTCTTTAGGCTGTCAGCTTCAATTTGATTATATTTTTACCACTGATAAAAAGCAATCTAGCAGGGTTTTCTTGAAATGAAACACACGCACTACAAAATGCTGCTGATTTCGAGTTGCCGATGAAATCTCAGCTGTTTAACACGCAACTCAAATAGAAAGGTTGCCGAATAAAAAGATGTTGCCCATTGTGGGCGACTATTGTAGTCGCTCTCACTAGAGAAGATTGGAGCTTTGTAAATGCGTTTCAAAACAGTTTTTGACAATTCTTTCGACTGAAATTGTTAGAACAGCTGGCAGTAAAAGATTGTAAACAAACTAATTCTGCAAATGCGTGTGTTTCTTATAGAAAAAGGCTATAGAAAGATGATCGCTGCTTAGGTTGCCGAGAATACGTAGATTCCCTTATATAAAAAATGAGTTTTTATTTTAAATAAAAAAAAAATAGTGATATTTTTGTTTTTCAAGTGGCTCCAAATGTCCTCTACAACATTGCTAAAGGTACCAAGCCGATTGGACAAACATTTTTAGAGTAACAGTTTTCTGAAGATATGCTTAGCATTTTCCACTAGACCCTTTTAAAATTAAGGCTGGATTAAAAATGGTGATCTGAAAATGCAAAACGGTGCTGAAAATTTTCAGTCAAATCCAAAAATACGAAAATTATTGGACTTTCGAATTAGTCTGGAATCGCTCTGTACAAAAAAACCACCGTAGCCGTCTTAATAAAGGGTGATACGGTCAAAATTTGGTCAATATCAACTTGACGTATTTCTTTCAATTTTGCATTTAAAAAACCTGAACACCCCTCATTTTGAAGGTGTGTGTGTGTAGAATGTTGCTCCTATTTTGATTTTGGAATTCACTCTTCAGTTGTCAAAATGCAAGAAGAGCAGCGTATCAAAATTTTGCTCGCGCATCGCGAAAATCCGAGCTACTCGCACGCAAAGTTGGCAAAATCGCTAAAAGTTGCCAAATCAACCGTTACAAATGTAATTAAAGTGTTTGGGGAACGTTTGTCGACAGCCAGGAAGTCTGGATCGGGGGGAAATCGAAAACCGGAAGCCGCTGAGACGACAAAGAGAGTTGCCGGTAGTTTCAAGCGAAACCCTAACCTCTCTCTCCGAGATGCCGCAAATAAGCTGGGTGTATCGTCTACAACCGTGCATCGAGCCAAAAAACGAGCCGGACTATCGACTTACAAGAAGGTAGTGACTCCAAATCGCGATGATAAACAAAATACGACGGCCAAAGCGCGATCCCGGAGGCTGTACACGACGATGCTGACGAAGTTTGACTGCGTGGTAATGGACGACGAAACCTACGTCAAAGCCGACTACAAGCAGCTTCCGGGACAGGAGTTTTATACGGCAAAAGGAAGGGGAAAGGTAGCAGATGTTTTCAAGCACATGAAACTGTCAAAGTTCGCAAAGAAATATCTGGTTTGGCAAGCCATCTGTACCTGTGGCTTGAAAAGCAGCATTTTCATAGCTTCCGGGACTGTCAACCAAGAAATTTACGTGAAAGAGTGTTTGAATAAACTTCTGCTGCCTTTCCTGAAGAAACACGGTTGTTCCGTACTGTTTTGGCCGGATTTGGCATCTTGCCATTACGGTAAAAAGGCCATGGAGTGGTACGCCGCCAACAACGTGCAGGTGGTTCCCAAGGACAAGAACCCTCCGAACACGCCAGAGCTCCGCCCAATTGAGAAATACTGGGCTATTGTCAAGCGGAACCTAAAGAAGACCAAAAAAACTGCTAAGGGCGAGCAGCAGTTCAAGGCAAACTGGCTTTCTGCGGCGAAGAAGGTGGACAAGGTGGCTGTACAAAATCTGATGGCAGGGGTCAAGCGTAAGGCCCGGCAATTCGGATTTGGAAAAGCGGAAGCCTAACTGAATATTTTTCCTGAATTTTATACTAATTGAACTTGAAAAAGAAATTTAATTTGATTTTTTAAATAAACGATTTCACCGATTTACACGCGTTTTCCCTTGACCAAATTTTGACCGTATCACCCTTTAGCTACTTTTACTAGCGACAGCTTTTAATCCATTATAAAAGAGACACCTACAACTTTGCTCAAGACACTATACCACTAGTCAAGTGTAAGCAAAATTTAACATTTTGCAGCGCCACAAGAATGAAAAAAAAAAATCCATTTTGAATTTTGATGTAAATGACATACAAAAGTTATAAATTAATTCATACACGTTTAAAGTTGCTTTCCGCGAAGCTGTTACCCTCGGCAACGAGTTGTTTACCTAACACGTGCTCGTTGTTCCCCGCCGCGTTTGGAGCATTGCAAACAGCGAGAGTGGCGGGCAAAAATTCCATCACATAATTCCGCGCATCACCGGTAACCAGCGCAGCGCAGCGACTGGAGAATGAGTGCCCGTTAAAAGCTATATCAACTCTCGCTCTTTGAGCGAATTCGAGGCCGGTCTTTTGAAAGTGAGACCGGCGCGGCGTCAGGGTCCGTTTTCGCGAGACCGGCTTTATGACAACAATCGAGAATCGCACATGGAGCATCTCCTAGAGTGGAAAAATTGCGAACTCCGCCAACCGTTATTGTGGTTGTTCTCTCGCAAGTCGCAACTCTTCTACTCATCGTCGTCGTCGTCGTCGCGGCGCATACGCGCATATATAATTCCAGCGAGTATCGGCCAGTGCTTCTCAGTTCCGATCGTGTTGCTCCGTGGTTCGTTTGTTCGTTCGCAAGGCGGGTTTGTATGCTAGTGATTTTGGCATAAGTTTGGAAGATTTTTTGTGGGTCAATTTCGGATTTACCGGATCGCGATCGCTTCTTTTTTTATTGGATTGTAATCAAAGTGATTACCGATCATCACGCGGGTTTGATTCGTGGGGTAGCTTGGTGGGGTTCCGGTTGTGCGTTTTTTTTTGGTTTTTATTAAAGAGAGTGTTGTAATTCGCTTTTTGAGGGGCGATCCGGTATAAGGTTGGCCTCCGATACGCATAGGCTGCGCAGAAGTCTTTCGGTCAGGTGTCGGTAAAGAAGTGTCGCGCGCTTGGAAAGGTACATAATCGCTTGTGACGGTCGCCATGTAGGCAATAAGTGCGGTGTACATTCGCAGCACTGATTGAGAATCGGTGTTTTCTCCGGTTGAAGAATTGTTTGCACTGCGTGCTGGCTGGAAAGCAAACCTTAACGATAATTTATGTGCATAGATTGTAAAGCAGATGGGACAAGCGGAGTGGCACTGCGCGGCGTCGTTGGAGTGTGTCTCCGTACAAGAGTCCCATTATTAGGTGTAATTATTTGTTTGCCATTCATCAGTGTAACGAAACGTAGCGAAAAATTGTACATTCAATGGAAACCGATTGACCTAACTTCAAGTGATACTATTAGTATAGCGTTTCTGTTCGTTTTTCGATTCTCCTTCTTCACCGACCGACAAAGTTTGTTTTGAGTTGCTACGAACCGCGCAGGGAGAAGTAAACTAAAGTTATACCGATTAGGGCAGTGTGAACATAAACGAAGTGAAACATTTGGCGCAACTGGAAGAAGAGAATACCACGCCTGAGCGAATCTTGAACTCCCAACGTGTGTCCCAACAACTTAGTTTTTATGTTATTATTATTATTACTTTTTTTATTTATTAGAATCAGGTTCTGTTCCGTGAGCTTATTTTCGTTATGGTTTTTGTTGTTGCTCTTATTGCAGTGAATCATTAAGCTGATTATACATACTGAGGTGTTCGTTTATTTGTGCTTGCTTGAGGTGTTTGAAGTATTAAAAATAAAAACTGCTGACTCTGCTGCTGGAAGCAGGTGATCCTGAACTACTGAGCTGTTAGCCATCGCAACGTCGACGCCATCCACGGGAAAGCTGTATGCAAACGCAGGTAATTTTGCTCCCATCATTCTGGGTAGCCACCAGAATTTATATACCTACAGCCATTTATGGCGAATCTAAGGTGCAGGTATGCTTACCTCATTGACTGATCGTGATTGTTGTTTTTCTGTTCTGCTTGCGCTTTGCTTTACCTAATAAAGGATTTTTGTTTCGCATTCACAATTTTTGCTGAGGCACGACAAAGTCGTAAATAGTGTTATTGAATGGAGCGACACATGGACGGACGGTTGGTTGGTTGGTTGATACGGTGATTTCCAGCCGGCGATAGCATTCAGCTGACCAAATGTCACGTGCGATGACGACGGTAGCGATCATCGACCGTTTTTGTGCCCCTAAGGGATGTGATGTGATGAGTGATGACAGGAAGATTTTGTTGAAATCATGTCAACAGGTATTTGGATTATAATGCGTACATTTGTAAGGAATTCTAAAGTTGACGGTTGATAACTGTCGCTACCCGTACTGTTGCCCCATGTTCGATAGAATTCTTATTAAGGCTGTGTTCCATTTGGCGAATTTTCACTTAAGATTCAAATAATCCTTAACCTTAAACCTCTAGCAAACAAGAAATCAGTTTTGACAGACACCTTCTGGAAAATCGGTCGATCTACAAAAGAGGGATTAACGAACATTTTAATTTATTTAATGGGGATCTATGTGAAAATTAACCAAATGGAACTAAATAGAGGTAGTATTGAAAATAACGAAAGTCAAATGACAATCATAGTTTTTATAGTAAGATGAGGTGAAAGTGAAACCTTATATTGGGCCAAAATAAAATCATTTAAATCATTTAAAATTAGAAACAGGATCAATGATGATACAAATTAAATTCTTTTACACTTAATTTGGCCGAATATAAAACTGATCCTTAAAAGATAGACCAACTACCGGTATGATTTTGAATTCAAACATGACAACATTTTCTTGTTCAAGTCAACCGTTTAGTTTCGAGCTCAGTTTTTTTTGGCTCAGTCGTCAAATGCAACAAATTAATTATCACCGGCAGTCCGCATCGTGCTCTCTTGCCGTGCGGATCTATTTGCTTTTTGCTGAAGGAAGTGTTACTACTACCTAAAGCTACAACAAATTTAAACAGCACTTTTCAGTGCTCAACCTGTAAAAATTTTCTACCTTGTTCAACTCTTATTCCTCTTCGATCCTTGTTTGGACCCTTCCCGAGGTAATCCTTCTTGGATATCGATTTGGAAAATTCCTCTTCGATCCTTCAGATTCTTATAGTAATCTGCTTGGAAGTCGATTTGGATAAAAATTTACTGCCGCCATGGCGCCTAAACGCAAAAGAAAGGGGCAAACTCTTGACCCCCCTTCTGATGAAATTAATTTGAGTAATCAATTTGATTTGCTCACGGATGATGAGAATGATCCATCATCCAAGAAAAATTCTAGTAAACTTTCCCGGCTTAATGCCAAGAAGGAAAAGATTCCCCCTATTGTGATAACCACTACCGATTTCCATGCTCTTCGCATGGAACTTTTGAATTTCGTGAAAGTTAAGTTTTCACTACAAATTGGACGTCGGGGTGAATGCCGTGTATTGGCTGAAACCTTGGACGGATTTAAATGTCTTCTCAAGTATCTTACTGAGAAGAAGCACAAATTTTTTACTTACGACACCAAAACTGAACGTGTGTTCAAGGTTGTCATGAAAGGACTGCCCAGTGGTGAATCCCTGGATCAGATCAAAGATGAACTGGCAAAATTACTTGGAGTTGTGCCACTCCAAGTAATCAAAATGAAAATGAAATCCCGTCCTGGCGATTCGCGTAACGGGATTTCTAATGATTTTTATTTAGTTCACTTCAAGTCTAGTGAACTAAACAACCTTAAGGCCTTAGAAAAAGCTAGCCTTATGCTCCATGTCAGAGTGAAGTGGGAACACTTCAGGAAGACTGGAGGAAATTTCCAAAACCTCACCCAGTGCCGTAAGTGCCAGGGATGGGGTCACGGAACTAAAAATTGCTACATGCCAGCTAAATGCATGAATTGTGGTGATTCCTCTCATGCAAAGGACGACTGTCCTGTGAAGGAAGATCCTAAGAAATTTAAATGTTCCAATTGTGGTGAAAACCACAAATCCAATTTTTGGGAATGTAAGACTCGCAAAGCGATCCTACAATCTCGTTCTAACCGTCAGGTAGGAAACGCACCACGTTTCCGACCAGGTACAAATTCCTCTGCTGTTAACAACGGTCAGCGAGGAACAAATTCTACATTCGTACCCGTAGGTACAAATATCTCCCCTGCTTCAAATGTTTCATCTGTACCTACTCCCCTCGCTGCTAACAATGTTCAGCGAGTTAATGGAGCTACCTATGCTGCTATTGCAGCGGGTAGAAATCAAAATACTAACCAACGTTCTAACGGAAATTTTGACAATTTTGACTTAGGAAGCATTACTGCCCCCAAAATGGAATTTTTACAGAATTCATTAATTGACATGATTTCTGATATGCTTAAATCTAACTCCATGTTTGATGCTATTCAAACTGGAGTAAAATTTGCAAATAATATTGTCATGACTTTAAAATTCAGTAATGGATTTTAAAGCATTAAATATTGTAAATTGGAATGCTCGATCTCTTAAAGATAATGAAGACGAGCTATTTAACTTTTTGAGAGTTCATAACGTGCATATTGCCGTTATAACTGAAACGTTCCTTAAACCTGCCCATAAGGTTAAGAAGGACGCAAATTACTTGATTTATAGAAATGATCGTCTTGATGGACCCTGTGGTGGCGTTGCCATCATTATTCATAGACGAATCAAACATAAAATTCTTTCTTCATTTGAAACCAAAGTTTTTGAAACTTTGGGGGTTTCTGTTGAAACAAAATTTGGACAACTTACGTTTATAGCTGCCTATTTGCCATTCCAATGCGTAGGCCAGCAAAAGAATTTTCTCAAGGGTGACCTCCAGAAACTTACCCGTCATAGGTCTAAATTCTTCATTATTGGTGATTTAAATGCAAAACACCGCTCATGGAATAATGCTCAAAGCAATTCCAATGGTAATATTCTGTTTGATGATTGTTCTGCAGGTTATTACACTATTCAATATCCAAACAGCCCAACATGCTTTTCTTCTGCAAGAAATCCCTCCACTATTGATTTGGTCTTAACTGATTCATGTCAACTTTGTAGCCAATTGGTTACCCATGCTGACTTCGGTTCTGATCACCTTCCAGTAACTTTTGAAATATCCCAAGAAATAATTTGTAATCCCAACAGCTCTACTTTCAATTACCATAGAGCTGATTGGGAGCAGTATCGAACATTTATGGAATATAACTTCGATCCAAACATTCCTTTGCAAACCAAAGATGAAATTAATTATGCTCTTGAATCTCTGACTACTTCTATAGTTGAAGCAAGAGCTGCCTCAGTACCAAAATGCGAGGTTAAATTCGATTCAATTATAATAGACGATGATCTTCAGCTCTTGATCCGTCTTAAAAATGTCCGTAGGAGACAATATCAAAGAACACGCGATCCTGCCATGAAGGTTATCTGGCGGGATTTGCAAAAACAAATTAAAAAGCGATTCTCTGCCCTGAGGGACAAAACTTTTGAAAATAATATTTCTAAATTAGACCCGAGTTCCAAACCCTTTTGGAAACTCACAAAAATTTTGAAAAAACCTCAAAAGCCTATTCCAGCGCTTAAAGAAGGTGGTAAAATTTTGATCACAAATTTGAAAAAAGCTCAGAAACTTGCTAAGCAATTCGAGAGTTCCCATAATTTCAGTTTGGGTCTTACTAGTCCTATTGAGAATCAGGTTGCTCGGGATTATCTGAATATTTTCTCTCGGGAAAATATTTTTGATGATTCCTGGGGGACTGATTTGGACGAAGTAAGGTCTATAACTAAAAATTTTCAAAATATGAAAGCTCCAGGTGATGATGGAATTTTCTATATCCTCATCAAAAAACTCCCAGAGAGTACCTTGTCTTTCTTGGTAAAATTATTTAACAGATGTTTCCATTTGGCATACTTTCCTGATAAATGGAAAAACGCAAAAGTTGTTCCAATTTTGAAGCCGGATAAAAATCCAGCTGAAGCTTCTAGCTACCGTCCAATAAGCTTCCGTCATCATTTAGTCACCGGCAATAATGCCTACATTACAGTTAAAGTGGATTCTTCCGTTTTTTTTACGCATCGAGCCGAAAAGTTACAGTTTGCAATCTTCTAGTTTTTTGAGAATCCAAATTATTAAGCTCATCATCATCATTTTGTATAGTTGTACATGTTCCTAATTTTTATCCTATAATAAAGGAAATCATTTTGTCTATTTTAATAACGCTATCGCAATTATATGTACAATAAAAACGTATTCGTTTCCGAACGAATATCAAACTTTTAATGGATCACTGTATGCTGTCAGTTTTAATTTCATCACTACTGCACCACCTTCATATGGGCAAAAAAAACCCCGTAAAAGTAATGTATCAAGATTTGAATATTTTTCCATAATTATCGACTTGGGAAGCGAAAACAGAAACAAATATTTGGTGGGGAATTTTTTTAATACTAACGACATCTGTTTCAAAAACCAACCATGCTTTTGATCTATTGAATGCATATTAAAATCTGCCATTTTTCGAGCAAAAGTCCCAAACTGCAGTTTAAGACACTCCACTAGAACACCTACCCTATAGACACCCATTAAAATTCTCTTGATTAATAAGTTTGACATATTAGCTGAAAGGTTTTGAGACCATGCTACACGGAGTGATGTTCGTAGTATTCTTTATAACGTATTATTAGAAATGGGAATAAGCTTAGGAGGGGGTGGTTTTCGACTCTCGCAGTCTTCGATAAGCAGCTACAACGATATTTTGCGTCTACTATCCGATGTTTCGATGATTTATTTTATCTTTTTCTAGGATTAGAGGCTTCGTACGTTCGAAATAAATTATCGGAACGTCGGATAGTAGACGCAAAATAACGCTGTAGCTGCTTATCAA